AAAAAAAGAAATATTACATATAAAGTGATTCACGTACTACCTGGAGGATTTCTGTGTTCAGTTAAAGTAAGCTACTGGTGCAGGTTCTTTTGTCACCATTGTTGTAAACTAGCTGAAGCAAAGCTGGCGCTTCATTTCACATGCATCTTTGAAAAAGAAGATGACTTTATGATTCAGTGTCTCATTTAACTCTCAGTGTTGGGGTCATTGGGTTTTTTTTGGTTTTTGGTTTTTTGTTGTTGTTGTTGTTGTTGTATTTGAGACAGAGTCTTGCTCTGTCACCCAGGCTGGAGTGCAGTGGTGTGATCTTGGCTCACTGCAACCTCCACCTCCTGGGTTCAAGCAATTCTCCTTCCTCAGCCTCCCAAGCAGCTGGGACTACAGGTGTGCCCCACCATGCCTGCTAATTTTTTTATTGTTAGTAGAGACAGTTTCTTCAGATTGGTCAGGCTTGTCTCGAACTCCTGACCTCAGGTGATCCACCCACCTCAGCCTCCCAAAGTGCTGGAATTAAAGTTTGAGTCACCATGCCCAGCCAGTGTTGGGGTTATTGTGATGACCTTGTTGAATAAGAATATCCTCAGCCCAGAAAGTTGAAGAATGGGGTGATAGGCCAGGGAAGCATCTTGGCTTCCGCTGGTCATCCTTTCTTCATTGTCATCCTGACCTGTTTCTCTCAGTTTGAACTGAGACACAGATCGAGCCTGTTATTAGGAATCTGTTCATTACCAGCTTCTTGAAGCATATTGATATATGTACTGCCTGATCGTGTATGTCAGCACTTCCTTTATTTACCTTTGCTGATTAGCCAGGGATGGTCTGACATTTGAATTTGTATCTAGTAAAACTGTCACATTTGTCTTCTTAGAGGAACTGAGATTTAACTGTGTTTTTCTTTTCCTGGCATATTTTTCCTCTACCAAGTCAGAGATTTGTTGCATGTTACTTGCTGCAATAGAGTGTATAAGGAATACTACCTTGCCTCTGTCTCATTACAGCTGTCCCCAATCTCTTCATGCTGGAAACAGTGGATTCTGTGAAGTTGGCAGACAAAGTGAACAGTTCCTGGCAGAAAAAAGGTTCTCCTGAAAGGTTAAAGGTTATGGTCCAGATTAACACCAGCGGAGAGGAGAGTAAGCGACTAGACCTGAATTGTAGATTATTCTTCCCTTAGGATGGTTGAAGCTCAGGGAGAATGGGTAGGCCCAAGTGTCTGATGGAGGAGGTTATGGAAACAAATCACAGGATCACAGGCCTCTAAGTAGGCTGTTTTTTTTATGAACTAGATAGCATAATGACATGCAAGCCAGTCTTTATATCATTATTTACTACATCATGGTTCATTATATCTTAATTTTAGGGGAAGAAGGATGGGGAGTGAAGAAGGGGATTGTGACTTCATTTTTTTTGTTGTTGACATTGTTGTTTTCTTTTTGAGATGGAGTCTCACTGTGTCACCTAGGCTAGAGTGCAGTGGTGGGATATCAGCTCACTGTAACTTCTGCCTCCCAGGTTCAAGTGATTCTCCTGCCTCAGCCTCCCAAGTAGCTAAGATTACAGGCACCCACCACCACACCTGGCTAATTTTTGTATTTTTAGTAGAGACAGAATTTTACCATATTGGCCAGGCTGGTCTTGAACTTCTGACCTCAGGTGTTCCACCTGCCTCGGCCTCCCAAAGTGCTGAGATTAAAGGCATGAGCCACTGTGCCTGGCCTGGGATTGTGACTTTCATCTGAAAAATCCCCAAAGGTCATCATCACTCCTGCAAGGAGTATTTTAAATTTGCATGTAATACTCTTATGTCTTAAAAAAAAAAATTACTAAATGTTACATTAGAGAGAATGGAATATAATTACTGTAAGTGGGCTGGGTGCGATGGCTCACACCTGTAATCCCAGCACTTTGGGAGGCCGAGGCAGGTGGAACACCCGAGGTCAGAAGTTCAAGACCAGCCTGGCCAACATGGTGAAACCTCATCTCTACTAAACTTACAAAAATTAGCCAGGCATGGTGTAC